GCTGCTCTTAAATTGCAGTAGTTATTAACAAGATATAATACCATAAAGATAAAATCACACAGAAGAGAACCATAGCTACGTATTTGTGTTGGTCACTGTCAGCTTTTGTTGTTTGACTGTGTAGATTTTGGCTTAAGTAATTAGTAATAGACCATGAAGTTGACCTGAAGATTCATCTCTTGAAGTAGCTGCTTTGATTTTCTTCCTCTCCCTCCACCCCCTAATGTCAAGCCTATTACATTTTTGGGTCACCATAGCATGTTTCCTTTCTGCTACCTGCACCTTACTGCTTCCTGGTACCAGTGAAGGTCTGAAACACCCCCCAGCCTTCATTCTTGTACATGTTGTATTTTTGCCTTTGAAAGTGGGATCATTGCTGTAGTACTTGTGGCATTCTTTAAATGTCCTTACAGTATGGGGGAATGGAAATGCCCTGAGTTTAATTACTTGCAGATGGAGTTTTTAGGACAAATACTTCGTGAATATGGCTAAAGCCAGAGTAACAACAGGTAACAAGCACAATGAAAACTTTTCCCTTTGGCAAAATTTGTCTTGAATCTCAGCCTGGAACTAAAAAGAGGAAAGATCTATGAAAGGGCAAGCTCCCAAGAATAACTTCCTTAATGACCTTGAAACTATCTCTCTGCATAAACCATTACTAAATTATTCCTTTCTGTTCTTGAGCTCATTTTAGTGGCTTAACAGAAACAGGCTCAAAATCAAAATTGCTGCTTTCTTCTTTGATGCCAAAAGGTTGGCTGCTCTTGAATGTGGATCAGATGCTGCAAAACACTGAGCTGCTTCTCTATGGTATAGAGTTCTCTGGCTACTTTTTGAATCTGCTAAGAGCTGGGGACACAGCTCAGCAAATTGTATTACAATATTAATGCATTATTAATTATGTCTGTAATATTAATATAAGAATGAACTAAAAAAATCTTAAACTATTCAGACTATGATGACTGTGATCAGCACTGTGGGCTGAGTCCCATCTAAGAAAATGCAGTGGCAACTCCAATCTTTAGGATCTATAGGGAAATACTGAAGTATTGCTTTATGCATCCCTTCTGCACAAGCAAAGATAACTTTTTATCTGGATTATTATCTCCCTGTGCTTTTAGAAAAAGGACATTTTCTTTCATGTGTGCTCAATTAATGTACTTACTAATAAACCATAACCTACTGAAGAGTAAATTCTGTTCTCATAGATGATATTGTACATCTACAACTGCATTGATGTTCGCTACAGGAGAAAAAAAAAGCAAAAATTGCCCATTTACCCTTTAAACTTTCTTTAATTTATACTGTAATGAACTTCTTGTTCTGCTGTAAAGTAGAGGTTACTAGAACTTCATTTCTTTTCCAAAAGAATTGACACAGTATAATGGTCTTACAGGTTTTGAATGCTCTGGATGAATTGGGTGATTTTCTACATCTGAAATATTCACGGTATTCCAAGTCATCTCATCCTGAACTGTATGAAGAAACTAGGCTTGAATTTGAAGATTAAGTTTTCCACCCATGAAGAGAACATTATGATGCTATGAAAGGGGGGAAAACCCACAAACTAAAAAATAAGAATGCATTTCTTACATCTAAGGACAATTTTTGTTTCTCAGCTAATTGAAAGGAGGAGAAGGTCGGGTGTTTATTATATCAAATTTCTGTATTCAAGAGACTGAAATATTGACACAGATTTGCCTCCCCAGGAAATCTGTCTGTCTTATGGTATTTTTGATGCAGAATGAATGCATCCATTCATCAAGTTGCTAACGTACAGCTTTTGTTATAACCCCTTTTTATGAAAAGGCTTCAAATAGTCTTAATTGTGACTGAAATAATAAAGTTTAAAAACTGAATGTATTCCAATGCAGTATGGTAATATAGCTACGCTTCATCAGTGGGATTGTTTTTATCTATTGAAGAGCATAAATCAAGACACTGGTGTGGACTGCTACAGAGGAATGAGCAGGAAGTAACCTCTTTAACTAAGTTGTCCTACCATGCCTTTCTCCAGGGACAGAAAATGCTAGAAGAAGGCTAAAGCTGAGGACAAGGAAAGTAGCCTGATCAGATCATGTATTTTTGGCAGCAGATTATGGTAAATGGAAAATGCCTCCTCTCCTCCACAGACCATTTCTCGCCCAATTAAATACACTACAAGCTTTATAATGTATAAAAATTTGGGCTTAGACGTTAACAGAAATGCTTTGCTGCTAACGCATTTGGCCTACATCCTATTGTATCTGATCACAACATTAAGTTCTTCAGC